CTCTAGCGATGTTAGCATTAAGGATCCATAGATTAAGTAACAGTAAGAAGTTTGTATACTTAGCTGAAAATAAATATGTTCCAAAGCAAAGCTGAATTTAATGTATTTGAAGAATGTGTAATCAAATAGCTGGTTGAAGGGTTTGTGAGATAAGATAGAAGGATTTGAGATAAGTGGAAAGTGGGCAATGGGTAAACTTGCTCTTAACATTAATTGACGCTTAATTGTTATATATTTTTAATGTATTTCTCTTCCCGAAATCACTGTTACTTAGTCACTTACGTTGCACGTGTTCCAACTGCGCCCAGGGGCGGTGCTTCGTGGTTGATATTGAAATCCACCAAAATCTGTATTAATTAAATATATGAATCAATGTTTTATTTAGTATATTCGTAAAGTATTTATAACCGATTTATACATTTAAAGCTTTACATTGTTTATATTTTCTGAAATCCAGCTGGTTGAATAATTATGGTAGATTTCCACTGATTTTACCTATGTTACAACCACGCCTGTAGGCGTTGCTAATGGAACAAAACTTTCTTGCTATTGAAGTGTCACGATGTTTCCATTTCCAACAAAAATTTCTTAAGAAACATTTGTTTCCATTAAAATATTGAATGCTTTAAACCAGCGACAAAACGAGCGGAGCCAAACGGTCTGAATTAGTTTTTTTTTTTCTCTCGCCCCGCTGCAATCGCATGCTTCCTAGCAATTGCAAGCTCCGCCTAGAGGCGTGGCTAAATGCTTGGCCATTCCTATCTCACTCGTTTGCTTATTTTCAGTTAAGTGGAGTTATTCTATTCTCTTCCTTCCTGGGTTTCAGTCAAATTGTAACATAAAAGTTTGTTTATCGTTTATTTCATAACGATAGAGAGTTCGTACTTTGATTAGTAAACATCGTGCTACGCATTGCGCTCTGCAGAAACACAGTGTTGTAAATCGAAGTTAAAAACTATCTACAAGAATTTATTCTTGGCTGCTGAAAGTTTTGAACTACGCTGTTTCTAGTGTGCTTTTCAACACGCTGATACAGCTGGTGCTGAATTTTTCCGCTTGAGTTTGTTGTTGCAGGACATGGAGGAGTCCAAAGCAGTACTGGCAGAGGAGGTGCTGAGGCGCTTTGAGGCGCTCGAGGCGAAGCTGGAATCGACCTTGATGGAGGTTGCGTTTTGGAGGGAAAGGGCGGTAAAGGCGGAAACGCTGTTAGCCGCCAAGAACTCCAAAGTGCAGGAGTCCATTGAGGAGGACAAAATGGAGGAGAGCGCTGCCTCCACCAGCAGCAGCGACGA